CCAGTTCGGTGGCTGAACCTCCTAATCGAATCAGGAGACCCCTTAATCTCTCCAAGTAGAATTGGAACCTTCCAAATTGGTTTGGAAAGATTCGGCGATTTGGATATAGATACAGCTTTTTCTACATACCTCAAGGTACCAGGTGGCTCATGAATGCTGAGATGCTGGGGTGCATCCCACGGGAGTGTAGGAGGCTCCCCAGTGCGCTCAATGGCAGACCCGGAAATGGACCAGAAGCACTTCTGGTCCACTTCTGGGTTTTCCACCGAGCGCATGCACCCCCGGCCCAGCTACTGGTGCCGCTTGGGTCTGGGGGGGGCATCCAAGGTCAATTGCCGAGCCAGGGCAGATCCGGGGGGTGGGGGGGACATACGCACTCAGCGGTGGACCCAGAAGCGGACTGGAAGTACTTCTGTTCCACTTCCGAGTTTGCCTCCAAGCACATGGAGGGTGCCCCTATTCTCCTGTGGGATGCTTCATCCACCCCAGCATTGCAGAGTTCATGAACTGTGCCTGCTACCTTGAGGTATGTAGAAAAAACATTTAAAGCTGTGTCTATGGCCGAATCACTGATTCTCCAAATCAGCATCGAATCTTCAGATTCGGATTTGGCCGAATTGAATTGGGGACAGTGATCCAAATCAATTAATCTAATCACTGCCCCCAATTTGGGCTGAATCCGAATTGACTACAGGCTGTTTCGCATACCCCTGTTGCAAAGCGCTATCTCACAAGAGATATAGCTTCCTTTACTACAAGGATGAAGTGACACTGGCTGCTTCACAGTGCCCAACAACATACTGTACCATATTGTAATGAAAGAACAGAAGTGAAGAATGCTTTCACCAGATGAAACTATAGGAACAATTAAATAGGCTACAACTGCTCAGTCTAGCATTTGACTATACCCTTGGGCTACACCCCTCATCTTGCGAACAAAAATAGGATTGGTCATTCTAATCTCAGCCTTGAGGGAAGTGAAGAACGCCATCAGATTCACTGGTTATGTTTAATGTAGTGCTTAGCAGACTCTCCTTGAGTATCACTTGAGTCCAAGGGTTTAACCTATAATACTGACTATATAGGGATAGCTAGATAGTGCCTAGTTTGTGACTTTATAACCCAGTCTGAAGCGACATCGCTTTCTCCTTTTCCTCTGTATGTTGTAAATCCAACATGGAGCTATATTTCCTATTCAAATATTGTAATCATGGTCATATAACTCATACCCTTATAATGTGCACCAAATCAGTCCTGTTCTACTGTTTCCACACAAGGACATGCTTTTAATACTTTCCGTTTGTAGAGCATTCCATGCACTGCTGCATACGCCAACTGAATGAAGCACACACTGTTTCTCATGCCTGGTACATGCTGACAGTCTCTGACCCGTGCGTTTCACAGCATTCCTCTAGCCAACAGAACGTCATGGGGAAAGGATGGGAAGAAAAAGGGCAGGAAGGCATGCTTTTATGAGATTAATACAGTTGAGTCCAGTCCCTTCTGTGCTTCCACAGCCCTGCTGAATCTATCTCAGACCCACCATATTACATCTATGTGCATGATCAGATCACTTCTTGCCCATGTTACATACCTTAGGCTCATGTGATGAGCAATATGGAAGAGCCACCCTGATGTGAAATGTGTGGTATGTGGGTGCTTTTGGAAGGTGTGATTGCTCAGAGAGAAGGAAGTGAGATGGAATGCTAGGCCCTCTGTCTTTTTGTCTGAGACTCATCCATGCAGTACAACAGCTCTGCTTTCTCAGAAACACTTGCCTTGACCCTGTAAAGATAAAAGGGAATTCTACGTTATATTTGTGTGTCTGTGGGATTTTCTCAGCAGCAGATGCTGATTCCCTCAACTCCTGTGGCATTGTTAAAGAATGGGTGTTCCTTTCCTTCCTTTCTTCTCTCTTGCTAATAAGTTTATGAGTACTTTGTTTGAAGAATCCATCATAAAAAAGAGGCCCCAAACCTGATAGGTGCCCAGTGCCCTCAGTTTCCATTGAATTCATCCCTTCTCAAAATGTACTCATTGACTTAAAACCATCTTGTGTTTCCCTGTTCTCCTAGCCCTTTGGTGTTTATCTGGCCCAGCAAGAAAATGTGATTCTTCCTTGGAATCAAAGCTGCTTATCAAGAATTAAATGTCTGCATGAGATCTGATTTGACAGCAGAGAGATCTAAATCCAGTTATGATACATGCAGAGATTTCACTTAAGTCAGTAAGGAAACTTTATCTGGGGCAAGATCTCCCAACTTTCACCATAAAGAATCTATTTTAAGCACATGGCATGTTTCCACACTTGTTGTTTTTTTCAGTTGCATCATTAGTGATTATATAGCAGCAGAGCTTTCTAAAAGATTCGACAGTGGGCTTGATGGCAAATGTAGGAGGGAAGAATGGGATATATCTATTAGTTACTCATTTAGGTATGATTTAGCCTGTAAAAAAAATATTGCAGACTCATGGAGGTGGCATATGTGCAGTTCCAAATTGATGTTATCTTTAATTCTTGATTAGAGTGTATTTAACATGC